AGGCCAATGACTTTTAGCTTATATTAAAGCACCGATCATCCCTTTCATCGAAAGGGGGCCCAGCTAGTATATTATATTTGTGAAAGTTCGTCACTTCGGCCGCCTAAAACTTCCGAACCACTTAACTTTCGAATTTGACAAAATTAATGGTGGTTCAGAATCATTTAAAAGGTGCACAGTTTTATTGAGGAGACTGAAGTCACTGTAGTTTAATTTTCAGTTTTTCATTAGTTTCGTTTAGATCTATTCTCGGGAAAGTCGGACTTCTAAATCGCCATTGTAAACAAATGAGGTTTCCGTTCACTAGCAGTGCGCACTGTTGTTTGGAGAGTATAAATCTAGACCTTCTCTCAAGATTTATTGCTTCATTCCAGTAGAGTGTAAATATAGTAGGCCAATGACTTTCAGTTGATGTGAATGCACCTATCATTCCTTTCATCGAAAGGGGGCCCTGCTAGTTCATGACAAATGAGTAAATTTTTTGGTCAAAAGCAAGACAAATGAACAAGCTTTAAGATGACACCAATAACTCTATACGTCCCAAAATTGACGAGCGCCTGATTCCGCCGCATCGCGACACGTATGTTTTGTACCAAAAAGAGGGCCCCGGCATAACTCTCTCCAGAGACTAGGAGTCAGGCAAGTGGTCACCGGGATGTGTTCTTGAGCCAGACATTATAAAACCTCGCTAAAACAACAGGGTACTGAACTCAGGCAACCAGCAATGGCGTGCTTGTAGCATATCTCTGGGTTTTAGCATGCACGTATTTATGTATTAATATTCACATAATACATCGCTACCTCAAAATTACAAAGTCTCATCTGACATTTTTGGCCGTTTTCAGTCATTTACACTATGAGATCAGAAATTAAATGCTCTATCTGCTCTATCAAAATCGTAAGATTATTCGGAGTAGTTAACAAGATATGCAAAGAATTGCATTAGAAAAAGCTTAACAAGCTGTGAAACTCCAAAATGTTTACATCAAATTTCTCAAAACTAGGCAATGAGCTGATAGAACTTTGTAGCGCTATGTGAAGCGTGCTGACAAAGTGAGTTACTTCTCCAATTTAAGTCTTATGAAAATAGATACATCACACTTATAGGTGAAGGTTTTAAAATTTGTAAGCATGAAATAATAAAAGACAGGTTCTAGTTAAAGAAAACAGCGTCAATAGAAAATCTACAAATTTGACTGTAGTGCCAATTTTTGGCAAATATCTCCATTCGTGGATTGCGAGAAGTAACTCATTCTGTCAGCACGCCTCACATATATTACGTCATTAGGCATTTGTCAAAGTCCTGCGTCCAACCATTTATGTAAAACACAGGCAACAATTTTTCACGGACAAGAAACGTACCTCACAGAGGCCAGCGTGAAGCCAGGCAGACAGTAACAAGGCAAGATGGTTCTCTATCAGATTGGGCCTGGGCAAGGAAGAAAAGAACAAAAAAATCAAAGAGTTCATGAATTGTACTACACCATGAGGACTTGAGTAACAAGAATCACATTTTTACACAATAACAAAATCAATATCAAAATTTTCCAAGATGACCAAATGACAAGGAGAGAAGCGGTTGTCTTAAACAGGTGGATGTTCTGGACAGTGTCACTGCAATAAAGAAAAAATATTAAGGAGGGGGGGGGGGGGAGTGGTCATTTGTACAGGTGACTGTCTTGGACTGGTGGCTGCTAGAGTACGTTTGACTGTATTTACTGCTGAGAAAAGGCAAGACAGACAGACAGAAACAGCAGAGAAAGAGTAAAGAAGAGTGATTACCAGTGACACCCTCCAACTAGTGCTGAGACAAGGAAAGACAGACAGAAACAGCAGAGAAAGAGTAAAGAAGTAGGATTACCAGTGACACCCTCCAACCATCCAACTAGTGCTGAGACAAGGAAACACAGACAGAAACAGCAGAGAAAGAGTAAAGAAGTAGGATTACCAGTGACACCCTCCAACCATCCAACTAGTGCTGAGACAAGGAAACACAGACAGAAACAGCAGAGAAAGAGTAAAGAAGTAGGATTACCATTGACACCCTCCAACTACCCACACAAAGATAACGAAAGTCTGTGAAACTCCTCACGGCGAGGTCGGTCAAAGGAGAACAAACCTGGTGTGAGATATGTGAGGCAGAATGGCGCGACCTTCCTCCGCCACAAATCCTTCCGTCAACTTCCACACGTCCTTCATCTCACTGGGGTCTGAAACACAACACAGGAAAGTTTTGTTTCTTTCTTTTCTAGTTTTACTAAGAGTTTTAAGGCACTTGCAGCACAATAAGGTCATATAAGTGCCGAAGATTAGAGGTGTTACAAGACAGTAACAAACACAAAAAAGGAGGGGAGATAAAGATGATAGCCGTTTGATAGGAAAGAAGCACACCACACCAGAGCACCCACCAACCACCCACATTTGTTTCTTTGTTTGTTTGTGAGAGCAGAGAGAAGCACATTGACATAAAAAACGGTCGTTTAGTGAATGTAAAGAGTACGAAAGACAGACAGAAAGACAGACAGGGAAAGAGAGACAGAAACAACAAAAGGAAAGAAAGGAAGTAGGACCCACTTGTGGCCCACCCCCCTACCATCCACAGGGTATTTGTGAGATATGTGTGACAGAGAGAGAGAGAGAGGGACAGAAAGACACAGACAGACAGAAACAACAGAGGAAAAGAAAAGCTGTAGGACCCACCAGAAGGAAAGGCATAGAGGTAAAATAATCAAAGCTACAAGAATTATTGCTGTTGCAAGAAATAAACAACTCCATCTGACTCTGGTCCACACAAAAAAACATCGTAATAACTTATTTTGCTCACAACAAAGACAAAGACAAAATACACTGACGCAGTTAAGGGCACTGCTCTGCCCTGAACTGGCAAAACGGGTTTTTTTTTTCGTTTTAGACATCAAATTTTTTCAATATGCTAAAGGGCAGACAAAACGTTATTTTTAATTTTTTTTTGGTGCCAATCTTTTAAAATTTGCTAAACCAATAGCCTGATCAGTTACCCTACTTGTGTGAAAAAATCAATCAAAGTGAAACTGACAAGTGTTTTAGTAAATTAGAATTCAAATTTCGGAAGAACATTTTTTTTAAAAATGGTTACGCTGACAAAACGCCAGTACATCTCGACACTGCTGCGAGCAAGAAACGGCGTTTTGTCAGCATAAGGCAGCACTGTCTTACCAATACTGCTGAAAGCTGTGACAAAGTCATCGGTCCAAGTTGGCAGAGGGAGACGGAATAAGTCTGAGATCACTTCCAGGACATATTTCTGAAGACACAAAAATCAATACATGCACAAAAATACACAGTTGAACGTAAAAGGAATCATCTTCAGATTTATGTTTCAGTCAGCGTTTTATGGCACTTGCAACACAATTAGGTCATATAAGTGTCGAAAATGAGAGGTGCTACATGAGAATAACAAACACAACAAAAAAGGAGGAGAGATGAGGACGACAGATGTGTTTTTAAAGAAAAGAAGGAGCAAACCACACCAGAGCACCTGCTAACTACCCACTGAATATATCAGGATTGAAATAAAAATAAGAAATTGCCTGGCAAAATATATCTTGCCTATCAGGAATTGTGTAATAAAATAAAGATGATTTTACTTATTGTAGAACAAAGAGAAGTGATGTCTTGTTGGAGGATGAAACGACTTACTCTACTTTCCACACACAGCAGACACACAATCACTTACTCTACTTTCCACACACAGTAGACACACAATCACTTACTCTACTTTCCACACACAGCAGACACACAATCACTTACTCTAATTTCCACACACAGCAGACACACAATCACTTACTCTAATTTCCACACACAGCAGACACACAATCACTTACTCTAATTTCCACATACAGAAGACATACATTTACTTACTCTAATTTCAACATAGGGCAGGTACAAAATTCCTATGAGGGACTGCATGCCGGAGCCCTCCGGGTGACACAGTCGTATAAGACCTGTAAGGAGGGAAGGTCGTGGTGGTGGGTGGGGGGGGGGGA